GAGTTTCTGTGGATTTGTTTCTTCAACGTACCCAGACTAATACAGCATGAAATTAGTATTTTTGTGGTTCAAGATCAAACCTATTGCCATCAAGTCAATTCTAACTCACAGTGACTTGATACAGGGTTTCTGAGGCTATAAATCTTTATCAGAGGAAATAGCATTCTCTTTCTCCGGCAGAGCAGCTAGTAGGTTTAAACAGCCGAACTTGTGGTTACTGGTCCAACATCAACCTGACACTGCCAGCAATAGCTGGCCTAAAACAGGAGGTAGAAAGGTAACTACAAACCATATTACAAAGGAATTTGTATTCCATGTAGGTGAGAAACTTAATCAGATCTAGATTTAGAAAGCTCACTAGTTAGTCTAGAACATTATTTCAGAGGAGTGATACCAGAGGCAAGAAGTCCAAGTGAGAAACAATAAGTGTCTCAACTAATAAACTGCTACATATTTGTATATTTAACAGATAGGAGTAATATAATCTGGAAAATACAGCATAATAGGTTCCTTATTATGTATGACTTTTCTAGCCTTAAGTTGATAATTCTCACAAAAATGATTGGTTGTTTTTGTTTTATCTACCCCTAGCAGGGATTAGGCAGTTTCCTGTATAAACTGGTTGTACGAAACCTACCCAGTAGTGGAGATTAGAGCCCTGGTAGCATAGTGGTTATGTGTTGGGCTGCTAACCTCAAGTACAGCAGTTGGAAACTACAAGAATGAGACCAAGCTTTCTACTACCCTAAGGAGTTACAGCCTCAGAAACCTACTGAGGTAGCTCTACCTTATCCTACAGGGTTGTTGCTGTGAATTGGAATTGATTTGATGGCAGGGAGTGTGTGTGTGTGTGTGTGTGTAGATTGGTCAGTTTGTGGCTGTATGTGTGTAGATTGGCCAGTTTGTGGCTGTATGTGTGTAGATTGGTCAGGGAGTGTGTGTGTGTGTGTGTCTGTGTGTATACGTGTGTAGACTGGTCAGTTTGTGGCTGTGTGTATGTGTGTAGATTGGTCATTCTGTGGCCTGGTTAGGAAGGTCATAACTGAATTAGATAAAGAGTCTCCTTACACAGGTATAAGCAGTCAACCAGCAGAGGTTAAGAGAGAGGCAATGAGCGAGGGACCAGAGGGGAAGGGATCAGGCCCTGGAGAGACACCAAGCTTGGTAAAGTACAGGGTCAGTGAAAAAAGAGGAAGAACCCTGAACAGGATGGACTGACCCAGGGGCTGCACTGATGGGCTCAAACAGAGCGGCACTTATGATGATGGCACAGTTTCTCATTATGGGGCACATGCTAACTCGGTGGCACCTGGCAACAAAACAATGCCTGCAGTTATAATCTCGTTTAATGAGTTGCTTGTGTTCAGTTCTAATACTACTATCATTTCTCTATTTTACAACTCCATGCTGAGTAGCTCTTTTGAATAGAGGTTGTTGTCAAGTACTGTCTAGTGGGCCCATCATAGCGACCTACTTATACAGAAGGAAGACAGCCCAATTCTGTGTCATCCTCTTATGTTTAAGGCCATTGTTGCAGCTACTGTGTCAATCCATGTGTTGAGGGGCTTCTTCTTTGTCACTGACCCTCTACTAGGTCTCTCATGGTAACGTGTTCAAAGTGCATGAGATAAAGGATCTATCTATTTATGCATGGTCCTTCTATATTTAGAGTCACATGCATAGTCAGTGTACATTGAGGTATGAAGAAATAAAGGATCTGAAAAAAAGAGAGCCCACTTTGGGAACTTCTTATTTAATTTTCTTGACTAATCTCTAAGAGAGTGGCATCTAAAAATATTTTGGGTAGTTCTTACCTGATAGAATATTGGCTATTACCATTAGCTTATGGTAAATTTGGTGATGAAATGGTTAAACACTCCGCTGCAAACTAAACAATTGGCAGTCTGAATCCACCAAATGATTCAGGGAAAGGTGTGGGAATCCATTCCTGTAAAGATAGGAATACTATGGGGCAGTTCTATTCTGGCCTATGATCAAACTCACTCAATGACAATAGTTCAGGGGGTTATTATTTATGGGGTGATCATGTAAAAACTGTTTGACCTAGAACATGCTGTTAAACTCCTTCAAGCCACAGATCCCTAGTTTGTAAGACAAGGATAATAATGATACCTACTTGATGAAATAGTATGTATGAAACACAGTATAGTGCCTGGCATGGAACAAATATTCAATAAAAGGTAGGTATTTATCATCCAGGAATAGATTTCTTGCCCATTTTTGAGTCATTTTAAATACATCTCTTACTTTTACCATTTCCTCTCAAGCTAAATTTTAAGGGTTTAAAGATATTGTTAAGTTATTTCAACTTATAAAGACAAAGATACCATTTCAGAAGTCAGTATTTATAAAGACCAACACAGTTTTAAGTAGGCATATGAAAAAGCAGCAAAGACTTGGGGCCCTTACATTATAGAGTCCAAACAAAACCTGTCATTTTATAGTATAAAAATTGGGCCATTTTTCTCCCTTGTTCAGAAAAAGTAAACTCCCGTTTCCAAAAACAACTTAGGTTTTCTTCAGGAGGAAGTCCTCGTGTAACAAAATACCCTGTTATCATTGAAAACACCCTATCATCATACAGGACAGTATGTCATGAACAACACTAAACATGCAGTGGCACATGAGCCACGAAGGGGAAAATGGAAAAGAAACACATAGAGTTTCCCTTCAACTATAATTATGACTACGTGATTTTCTCTTCTGTAACTATGTCTTTGATACTTGGAAAATTACAAATAATATTTTAATGAAAATATGTACTGGGTAGTTCTTGTTTTAGAAAAGAAAGCCAACTTTGCTGAAGAACCATACATGAGAAGTAAATTAAGTACATAAGAAAAACACATACATAGCCTGTCTGGTATACTTTTAATTCTTCGTGTGTGTGTGCTTAAACTGAATCCACTTTTTAAGAGGCGTTAGAAAAGACACTGAAGTAAGAGCAGTCCAATTAGAGTACCCTGGAAAATCCAGTGCCATGAATCCAAGGAACACACTTCCTATAAATCTGATGAATGCAAGGACTACACACAATCACGCATTCACTGCCATAGTGTCTACTACAACTCTCAGTGACCCCGGTGGCACAGTAGTTATGTGTTGGGTTGCTAACCACAAGGTCAGCAGTTTAAAACCACTATAGCCACTCCTTGAGAAAAAGATGAGGCTTTCTACTCTCCTTAAGAGTTACAGTCCTGGGAACACACAGGGGCAGTTCTACACTGTCCTATAGAGATGCTATGAGTCAGAGACTAAAAAGGGTAGAAACTGTGGCTTATAATGAGACCACAATCCCATAGATATGCCATCTAAGCACCAGGAAAAACGTAAGTCGGGAAAACACATGGTACAACACAGAAATCTTGTAAACCCATAAACTGTGATCACTAAGGTGGATTTACCTATTTATGAGATTTAAGAAAAGCTGAAAATAGGTTTACATATAGATCTTATAGGATAGCTTCTATTTCTCACTAAATCAGATTCATTATTAAAAAGCATGAAAATGAAGCATTCTAAAGATTCTTGATACAAAGCAAATAAGATTTATTATCATTTCATCGTTTTCATGGTAAAATAAGCAATTATATAGTACCTCAAAGACTCTCAATAATTTAGCAACACAAAAATGATTATCTGAAAGAAATTATAGCGAACAATTCAGGTAGGCAAAGTAATTTTGTGAGGACTTTCATTAAGAGAGAGTGAAAAAGAGAGCAAGAAACCCAAATATCCCATCTTGGTGCTAGCCTCAAATTAAAAAAAAAAAAAATCTCTAGAGACTTTACTTCTCACAGTCATGGGGAGGGGAAAGCCTAAATGAAACACAAACCAAAAGAAAACATAATGAGGAGCTAAATACAGAGTATTACTTTGACCTAGGATTTGAATTAAAACTTTGAGAATAGATGGATTCTATGAATTGCATTGCTCCGTGGAGAAAAAAACAAAATTCCACAACAAAAAGAATTTATAGCTCTGTATTAAGATTAAATATAGGAATTTTGACCAATAAAAACATTTTATATTTTTAAAGAAAAAAATATTTCCATCTCTATTAAAGGAAAATTAGTGGAAAGATCTGATGACCTTTCAAAAAAAAAAATCAAACTTGGTGCCACTGAAATGATTCTAACTCATCACGAGCTGACAGCCTCGGTGTTCTCCCTTAGAGCAATGGCAGGTCCAGGTCACTGGCTGTGTGTGAACAGCTCCATGGCAGCCACCAAGCCACCTGGGCTCCTTGAAATACTGCTAGGGAATTCTCATGCTCTTTTATCTAACTCAAAACTCGAAGTAACGGTCACACAGAAAGGACCCGGCAATTAAGATAATTGCGGGTACCAAATGTTGTTTTTAAGTTCTGTAATAAAACAGTCTCTCAGACATTTAATGGTATGTCATTTGGTAAATGAAAGTTTTTACAAAGTAAGAGCAGCAAGAAGACCTAAGAATTATGCTAGTGGAAAGCCTGGCTGGAAGAAATCAAAATACAGGTCATGTTGGCCCAACACTAATTTTATTTTAAGTTACTACAGAGCAGAATAAAATGCTGACACCATCACACAAATATTTATTGAGTTGGCAGAGGGCAGGGCATGATGTCAGCCCCCAACATCACCATCCACATTCCCAAATGCACGAAGACTTTAATTCCTGAAAGTAACAGACTTCATGCCTAAAGGTACTATGAAAATAAAAGCCTATGCCATAACGCATTATTATGCCTATATGAGTTTAGTTTGGCAGAACTTCAACTCAAATTAGTCCAGCACTTTAATACATTCAATAAAAACATGGAAACTTGCAAGCTTAAACATATTACAGTTTTCAAAATGTGTTACATTCTTCACCACACAGACTCATACCAAGTTAAGTTTTAAGCAATACTCAGGGATATTCAAATAATACAACATGCGCACAAAACATAGACTGACCAGAGACACAGAAACATACACACTCACACCCGTCCTTACCTTCATGGCATGGATTTCTTCAAGTAACCGCTGGGCCCGTCTTTGGTTTTTTAACAGTGCATCCTCAGTACCTCTGGGGGGCGGGGTGGGGGGAGTGTAGTTATTTAGCCAGGAAACACATACTTTTTAAGCTCATATACTGTAACAGGTTTCTTTTTAAAAAGCACAATAAACTTATATGCAATCCATATTGTCCACTTGCACCCTCTCCACCAAAAGCAACAACAAAAAGAACCACTCATGAATTCAAGTATCTGAAACTGACAAGAGTAAGCACTGTCCTGGCTCTATATTAGTGCTCATTGCCCCTGGGAGACAGTTTCCTTCCCTCATTCAGGTATGACATGACCAATAATATAAAGGGGTTCAAAAGCTTGTGGAAAATGAAATCAAAAGATAATGAAAAATTTCCACCAACTCTTTGAAGTTTATAGTTTTTATAAATAAAACAATCGCACACTGCTTTTAAGGTAACTTACTATTTAAAGGGCATAAGTAAAATTTGGATATAATTTCATAAAATAAACGTAAATTTGTTATCTAAAATTAAAAAATAAAGACCACAAATATCTGATTATATTAGAGAGGAGGAATACATTCTTGAAGATTGATGAAAGAGGAAATTAATCAGGAAGAAAACATCCTTGACGACTTTGTACAAGGACGCCTGCTCCACGTAGGAAGAACTATAATTAGGATACTTTTAACACCCCAAACCGAACTTACTGCCATCGAGTAGATGACAGCCCATAGTGACTCTATCCGACAAAGTAGAACTGGCTGTAAATCTTTACGAGAGGAGAAGGGCTCATCCTCCTCCCATCCAACACTAGTGACGATACCCCCAAAAGTTATACGGAACGCGTATTAATAAACACTTTTATGAAGTACAGATAATTTCAAATCAATTTCCAATTCAAGGAAAAGGTGGAGTAGAATTTTCATAATTGATTCAAGGTGTTATTAGAGCTATAATGTTCTATCAACATCTTAAAATAATTTCTAGCAACATAACTTATATAAAGAGTCTCGGAGAACTTAAATTCTGAAAAAAACAGAGTTCTGAAAACCAGCAGAGGGATTCCTATATCTTAGGAAATATGGTCAAAGCCATGTAGGGACAGGCTGCTACAGCATTTTCTCTTATGCAGATCCTTTCTACATATGAAACACAGTTGGGTAAGATATTTAATGATTCTTCCAGGTCCCACCCTCACATTTTAAAAATATTGAATAAAAACAACTTTGACATTTTCAGAGTTACAGGAGTTTAAATGACTAACTTCTTTGTCTTCAGTCGGCTAACACTCCTGACAAGTTTTCGGATAACCAAAACTCGGATTCTCTTCACGTCTTTCCTCATCTTCACAACCTTAGAGAAACAGAGTCAAAAGGAGAAGGCACTTAGTTCAGGAATAAACATCTCCACTTTAACCCTTACTAGTACAGACTTAATTACATTCAGGTTGATGAAATCAAACTTCTTCAATAAATAGTTGAGGAATAAACCAACCATCTAAAAACATATCTGTGGAATTAAGAAAAACAGGCTACTAAAAAAATAACAAAAAAGCCATGGCATTCTCAGTGATTCACACTTGAGTGCTACAGCTTGATATATAATAAACTGAGTTTCCTAATGTTATATTCACCTGTGTATTTTTAGGTTTTATTAACAGATTCCAATCTCTAACACTATGAATTTAATTTACTGAATTTGTTTAAATGTATGAAAATGAAAACATGAAAGTGACTGTACTTTGCTATTTATTCATTAGTAATAAATGATTTCAATATGTTTAAAAGAAACACCACAAACATAAAGGCATATTTTGTGTTATCCACAGAGGATACACATTTTCACTAATTCCATTCGAGATGGACTTGTAATGCTGAACTCTTAAGAAAAAAAACCACTAACAGTAATTTTAAGGACCCTAAAGGGGGAACATGTTTGGTACTATGCACCCAATAAGCCACACTGGCCCAAGTTTCGGGACACCTCCTGGGGACACAGGCCAAGTTCCAGTGAGCATTGGGTCATTGAATCCTGGAACTTCAAGGTGTACAACATGTTCCAAAGGTCATACCCGAGGGATCTGAAGTGGAAACTCCACCAGGTGAACTAGACTCTACTCAAACACACCTGTAACAACCTGAAGACTTAAGACTGAAATTACATGGTGTATGAAGAAGCAGAAGACAGCTATTCCGAGAGTACTGAACTCTTGGTAGGTAGAACAACATTGACTTACCTCATCAATGTGCTACTTGCTGTATTAAGATGTGTATTATTATGGCAGACCTGTGATTGACATTGTGAATATTATTTTAAATTTTGTCTGATAACCAATTCCCATTGTTTGTGTAAATAGTATCCAGCCACGTAAGACTATTCTATACAACTGAATAACTCAGCTATTGCGATATGTAGTTAGCCTACACTGGCTCAATCTCCCTCTTTCAGTAGTGTTTTAAAAATTAATATCATGGGCTAACTAACAGAAGATCGATCCTATGCTCCAGGGAGATGATTGATAAAATTCTCTACCATAAATTAACAAGGAGGGTCTCTAAGGGGAGCCAAAGGCAGATAAAAACACATAGATCCAGGAATAGAGTTTGGGCTCACACATAATCCTAGATCCAATCTAAGATTAAGTAGTGCTTATGACATGACCCTGCTCGACACCTGTTCTCATGAAGGAAATATAGAAGATATGGGCATTATAGCAAAGTATGGTAAGGAAATTACATGGTTCCTGGCTATCAGACTGAGTAATAGCACCTGGGATCTTAAAAGGTTAGTTTTCAAGCACACAGCAATCTGAGTGAGCTGTCAACTACGTCCACATGGAAGCACACCAACATCCGTGATCTAAGGATTGTAAATTATGTAATCCAAAGATCAAGAAGGGAATAGTATCAGAGGATGAATTGTGAGATTCTGGTTTGCAGAAGGGTATGGATGATAGCTGAAGCCCGAAATACATTTGGGAGATCTACACAGGACATACGCCTCCGCTAATTTCCCTCTAACCTTACTGAGAATGGGAATAAACTGGTTACTAGAGAGTACTCAAGAGGACTATAATAGATTAAAATGATAAACCTGCCTTGAATGGTTAAAACCTTATCACTTGATCTCCCCTTCTGAAACACTGGGCCTGATCTGGTTTTCAATATTGATTATTTGTGTTTTTCATACTGGGTTTATCTCTGATGTATTTTGTCATTGTGGGGGGCATTCATGAATCTTTGTTTTGTTTTTGTTTTTCGGTATATGAAACCCAGGATTGATGCACCTATAAAGACAATAAATAGAATAAGGGTTCCTGGGGTGTACACTGGGGAGGTGGAGGGGTAAAGAGAGCTGATATCAAGGTATTCAAGAATAAAATGTTTTGAAACTGACTGTGGTAGCAATTGTACAATACTACGTGATGTGATTGAACTATGGAATGGTATAATGTCTGACTTAGCTACTAATACAATGGTTTGGGGAAAAAATAAATATAATAAAACTCAGATTTATTAGCCTAAACCTAGAAATAATTTTGGTTACAAAGAACTACATGCCACTCAATTATACCAGGTTACCATTTTGGATTTATGCCTATCTATTATAGTGAGACCCTTATAATTTCTCTTAGAATGTCTTTTTTCTTTTTCTCCACTTGAAGAACTATACACAAATCAATTCAAATTTAATTTCCCTGTAACATCTTTCTCAGCCTGTGCACTTATAGCTATTTGTTCTTGGGGGTCCCTAAACTACGTAGTAAGTTCTTGTACTAAAGCCTTTATCTCACTGTTTTGTCACTAAGTGCTTACATGGATCTTGTTTTTTATAGACTGGTGTCTCCTAGAGCCAGTGGTTCTCAACCTTCCTAATGTGCGACCCTTTAATACAGTTCCTCATGTTGTGGTGACCCCCAACCATAAAATTATTTTCATTGTTACTTCCTTGCTACTGTTATGAATCGGGCAACCCCTGTGAAAGGGTCTCTCGACCCCCAACATGGTCGTGACCCACAGGTTGAGAACCACTGTCCTAGAAGATCAAACCAAAAAACCAAACTCACTGCCATCAAGCCGATGCTCTCATAGCGGCCCTTTTCAGGACAGGGTAAAATTGCTCCTGTGGAGGGAATGTTTTGAGAATGATGAGGGCAATGAATGCACAAATGCGCTTTACACAATTGATGTGTGTATGGATTGTGATACGAGTTGTATGAGCCCCCAATAAAATGATTAAAAACAAAAACTGCATGTAACTCTTTACAGGAGTAGTATGTGAATGGATATGTTGGAATGTGTAAGATATGTCAATAAACTTTTATTAATTAAAAAAAAATTGCTCCTGTGAGTTTCCAAGGCTAACTTTATGGGAATAGAAAGCCCAGTATTTCCCCCATGGAGCTGCTGGTGGTTTACAATGAATTACCAACCAACCTTGGGGATTGTGGCCCAAAACATAATCACTGTGCACCAGGGCCCCTTTCCTCAAGGATTGTCAGTACCTTGCAGTAGGCATACATTTTTTGGGCCATGCTAAAATACCAGAAACACATACTGCTTCAAATTCTTCTTTATAAAATAATCTAACCAACAACGTAATTTCTCCTCAATATCTTCGAAGCTGTTGCATCCAACAATAACACTTTCTCTTACTCTTCATTACTACCAATAAACTCCCCACTCATTGAAGACACTGGCATCAAATTTCATTTTTTTCCCACCTTAGTATACTATCATCCTGAGTAACTTAGATGTCTACTTGAACAACTCATCCAATATTATATCCTTACTTCTTGTCTATTTCATTTCGAATCACCCAATTGATTGCATCCCACCTACTGCTGATATAGACTTTTTTTTTTCACCACTTGTCAGACAATTTGTCATACCCACAATGGCTTGTGTGTTGTGATGCTGAAGGCTACGTCACTAGTATTTCAAAAACCAGGTTTCACAACAATGGCAGCTAAGGAAGACAAAGAAAAACATCTCAGTGAAATATACAAAGATCTCGAGTTGGAAAACCAAAAAGGATGTCTACACTCAGCATATCTTAAATGGAATGAACTCAAGAAAAAAAATGGAAGTCTTAGTTGCAAGATTTGAAGATTATATGAGCAAAATATTGAATAATTCAGGAAACATCAAAATAAGTTGTAAAAGCCCCCTCACTGGACCAAAAAGAATTAGTGGACATTCAAATATTTCAAAAAATAGCATCTGAACAAGAACCAATGGTACTGAAGGAAGAAGTCCAAGCTGCACTGAAAGCATTAGCTAAAAACAAGGCTCCAGGAGGAATACCAAGTGAAGTGTTTCAACAAGCTGAGGAGGCACTGGAAGCACTCAGTCATCTGTACTAGGAACTTTGGAAGACAGCTAGTTGGCTAACTGACTGCAAGAGATCCATATTTGCACCTAGTCAAAAAAAAGTTACCCAAGAGAATGCGCAGATTATAGAACAATATAATTGATGTCACATGCCAATAAAATTTTGCTGAAGATTATCGAACAGTTGCAGCAGTACATTCACAGGGAGCTGCCAGAGGTCCAGGCCAGATTCAGAAGAGGATATGGAACAAGTGATATCATTGCTGATGTCAGGTAGAGCTTGGCTGAAAGTAGAGAATAACAGAAAGATATTTGCGCTTCGCTGACTTGGCAAAGATATTTGACTGGGTAGATAACAAACTACAGACAGCCTTGAGAAGAATGGGAATCCCAGAACACTTTATTGTGCTTTGTGTATGAATCAAGAAGTGGTTGTGGGGACACAACAAGGGTATACTGTATGATTTAAAATCAGGAAAAGCATGCTGCAGGGTTGCATCCCTTTACTATACTTATTCTATCTGTATGGTGAGGAAATCATCAGAGAAGCTGGCTTCTATGAATATGGCATCAGAACCGGAGAAAAGCTTCTTAAGATCCTGCAGTATGCACATGACACAACCTTGCTTGCTGAAAGTGAGGTGGACTTGAAGTCCTTGCAGATGAAGATCAAGGATTGCAGCCTTCAGTACAGATTACAACTCAATGTAATTATGGCCAAAGTTCTCAGTGGACCAACAAGAAACATCATCAAAAATAAAAAAGGTTGAAGTTGTCAAGGATTTTGTCTTGCTTGGATCCACAATCAATCTTCATAAAGGCACCAGACAAGAGATAACAAAATCCACTGCATCGGGTGTATCTGCTGTACAAGACCTCATTAGAGTATCGAAGACAGGGAAGTTATTTTGAGGACTAAGCTGCAAATGACCCAAGCCACATAATTTTCGACTGCCTCATATGCATGTGAAAGTTGGATAATGAGTAAGACTGAAGAATCGATACATTGGAATTTGGGTG